GAAATAAAAGGTGACTTCTAAATTTGTTAAATGCTTGCATTTTCAAAAACAATTGGCAAAATCATACTTCAGTAGTAAAACACATACAACAGAAACCCTTTTAATTAAATTAAAGAGAAATAAAAATGATCACAATTACAATCAGTGTTTCTATTCAAAGTGATTCACTACCTTTAAGGAGCTGGGTTCAATCCTCAGCACCACATAAAAATAAACAAATAAAACAAAGGTATAAAAAAATAGAAAGATTATATTTCCATGACCTGTAGACTTTGTAAAGTGAATGTAACTTGTTGGTCAATCAAGTGGAGGACAATTTTTAAAATTCCACTTTTTTTCAAAATGTATTTTATACTTAAATAATACATAAGACTTTTACATATTTATACAGCGTAGTGTGATATTGATTACTATATGTAATTATGGAATCACAATTACTGGCACACTCATCATCTCAAACATTTATTATTTCTTTCAAAACCTCAGTTATTTTGAAATATGAATCTAATTATTGTCAACCATTTACCCTATCATGCTATAGGAGATTAGAAGTTATTTCTACTATCTAATCACACTCCTGTACCCATTAATCATCTCAGCTCCATCCCCTTCTCCCTAATTATTCCCAGTCTCAGGTAATCACTGTTCTACTCTCTACATTTAGGGGATTATATTTTTTAAGTTTGTACATATAAGTGAGAATATGCAGAACTTGTCTTTCTGTGCAAAACTGAATTCACATAACAGAATGCCTTTATTCTTTCTTAGAGTTGAATAATAATTCATTTTGTATAAATACCACATTTTGAAGTCCATTCATCTATTGATGGATCCCTAACTGACAACATTTCTTGGCCAATGTGAATAGTACTGCAATAAACATGGAAATAGAGATATTTCTTCAACATACTGATTTTCTTTCTATTGGATATATACCCAGTGATGGAATTGCTGCATCAAATTATCTATCTTGTTTCTTGAGAAATTTCTATATTGTTCTCCATAAGAGCTATACTTATTTTTAGTCCCAGCAATAACATATGAGATTCTCCTTTCTCTGCATCCTCACCAGCATTGTTTTTTGTCTTTGTGATAGTAGAAATTCTAATTTGAGTAAGACAGTATCTCAGTTGAGACAATATCTGATATGTTTCTGATTTGCATTTTCCTATTGAGATGACAATATGATTTTCATCTGTTATTTTGTTAATGTGTTGTAGTTCATTGGTTAATTTGCACATTCAGAACCATCATTATATCTCAGGGATAGATTTATGGTGACCATGTGTAGTTGAACTCAATTTGCTAGTATTTTTTGAAGATATTTCCATATATATTCTTCAGAAATATTGGCCAACTGATCTCAAATTGAAACCTCCTATAATTTTGTGTCCTTTTACCAGTATCTTTTAAACTCCCTTTTTTCACCCAACTTCACCAGTCTCTGGTAGCCAAAATTCTACTATTTGTATGAGATCAACGTTTTTAGATTCTGCATATGAGTAAAATCATGCAGTATTAATCTTTATATACCTGGCTTATTTGACAAAACACAGTATCCTCTAGGTTTATCCAAGTTGTTGTAAACAATAAAATTTCTTTTCTTTTTTTAATAACTGGAAGATATTCCACTGTGTATATGTAACACATTTTCTTTATACATTTATGTTTGATAGACACGAGTTGATTTTATCTCTTGGCTATTGTGAGTAGTGCTGCTATAAATATGTGTGTGTGTGTACGAATGCACTTGTGTGTGTGTTTGTGTGTGCGTGTGTGTGTGTGTGTTTGTGTATAGACACCTCTTGACATACTCATTTTCTTTCTTTTGAATATATACCAGTTATTAGGCTTACTGAATGATGTGACAGTTCCATTTTTAATTTTTGAGGCACCATCACACTGTTTTCCATAATGGCTATACTAACTTACTTCCCCACCAACAGTTTACAATGATTTCTCCATATCTTCTCCACCAGTTTATCCTTTTATTCTTTTTGATAATAGTTATTTTAACAGGAGTGAGGTGATATCTCTTTGTCATTTAGATTTGCATCTTTCTGATGATTAGCAATGTGTTACCTTCACATTAAAGTGATACAAAGTGTAATGGTGCTTTTACAATACTGTAACATTATTTAAGTGTTCTCAATTTGACTATCTACTTACTTTTACCAGTAAGTTTTTAACTTTAAATTTTGTTACTCCTTTGAATAGACTGAGATACTATGGACTGTGTTACTTTGAACATAACCTGAATAACACAGTCATAAAAGATGTGACGAGGTAAAAACTAAAAAAAAAAAAAAAAAACCTTGGAAGTTATGTTTTCTAATCTGAATAGTAATGGCATTCATTATTTAGAAAATAATCACAATCATCATCTGCATCACTTATATGGAACCAAGTATTAGGAATCTTGGTGTTTTCCTTTTACCAAATAATTCTTTTTGGTATTATACAAAGAGAGCTTTCTTGTGAGGATAAATTAAAATGAGTAGTAAAATATCTTGTGGTTTTCTCATGGAGAAATCCATACACTTGTATTTCTAAACTTGAAAGTACAAGTTAAGAAATCTCTTATTCGAATCATTAACAAAATATAATATTAAAAATTATATTACATATATAATTATATTAGATATAACTCAAATATCATAAAAATTTCACATTAATCATGATATGTTCTACAGAAATATTGAACATTTTGATATTTTGAAAGCATATTGATCAACTATATTAATGTTGTAATTTTCACTGAATCCAATAATCAGAAAAAAGGAAATTATTTTGGATGTCTTAAACATTCTCATTGGATCAAATAATCAGAAAAAAGGAAGCAATTTGGAGTAGACAATGGGCCATAAACCTCCTAATAATTTTTCTTAAAAACCAGTGGTCATCATCCTATTGAGCTCTGGTAGATAGAAAGTATATAGTTTTTTTTTAATGTTTTTTTTCTTTTGGTATCAGGAATTGAACTCAGGGACACTTAACCACTGATCCACAACCCCAACCTTTTTTTGTATTTAATTTAGATTTAGATTTGCAGGAGTAGTTGTGAAAGTAGATGCACCATAAGTATCACCATCTCAAGCCCAGCAATGAAATGGGAAAAGAAGATCTGAGATATGCAGCCTGCAAAGGAAATGGTCTTCTTCTCCCTGAGAAAGTCTGCAATCATCTTTGGAGTGGTGTTTGAAGAAAGCCACATATCAAAAAAAGACAGGTTGGCCAGAAGGAAGTACATGGGGGAATGCAGATGAGTGTCAGTGATGATTAAGGTCATAATGACAACATTTACAGACATTATCTTTTTCATTCTAATATATTGATGCTGAATTGTTTAGGGCCTCACTAAATTGCTGAGGCTGACTTGGAACTCACAATCCTCTTGCCTCAGTTTCTGGAGCTGCAGGGGTTACAGGCATATGCTAACACTACTGGCTCATGTGTGTAGGCTTTGACAGCAAGTGATTGTGTGATCTGTTGTTTATCATTACTTGAATCCCACCACATTCTTCATAGTGTAAATTGAGATGCAAAAATGGAATTTTATCATCAAGTAGAAATGGCACTCAAGAAATCAAGTTTTCTAACACCACATGCATAAAGAAATTGCATTAGCTGATGGTGCATCTACTTTTACAACTACTCCTGATTTTTTTTTCTCTCCTTCAGTGTACAACTCTGGCTACATGGAAAGTTCTTTTTTTATATATTTATTTTTTGGTTGTAGTTGGACACAATACCTTTATTTTACTTATTTATTTTTATGTGGTGCTGAGGATTAAACTCAGGACCTTACATGTGCTAGGCGAGCGCTCTACCACTGAGCCACAATCCCAGCCCAGGAGAGTTCTTTATAACCAGTGGACTGGCAAGTAAAAATTTCAACCTGAATATACTGATGATTTTGCATGATAACAAATTAGAAGAAGTAAAAAAAAGAAAGGTTGAATTTTTATAATGTCAATTAAATGAAGTATTCTGGTGAAATATTGGTATTGCTTAATGTAACTATAGTCCTAAAGGGCAGTTATGAGGAGAAATTGTCCCACTAGAAAGAATGGAAGCAGTACACTGAGTTTTCACCTTTGCTACACCTGCGTTGTTGTTGTCCTCCTCCTCCTCTTCTTCCTCTTCCTTCTCCTTCTCCTCCTCCACTTGCTCCTTCTCCACTATTTTTTTTTTTTGTGGCTGGAAGCATACCTATATTGTTTCATGAGATTTTACTAGTTTGGCTAGATCATTGGGGTTAATAATGAATATAATTGACAGATTAATGACAATAAAGCTTGGGAATAATTCTGATAACAAACTTGTGAGAATAGGAACAGACTGTGATAATGAAGTGTCTCATTTGTATGATTGATAGACAGTATTCACTACAGGGGAAGCTTTAGTAATTGGATGGAGAGAAATACTTCAGTTTCATTATTAATAATGTATACCATGGTCCCTGGATTCAGGGAGATTGCATTTCAGGGGATAAAATAAATATAATTGTAATAATTTAAAGAATACATTTTGTTCTCGAGTTCTGAAATAACCAAAGGAAATAGCATTAGATTTTATTTATTTTTTACTTTTATTGAGTTAATGAAACACAAGAAAGAGTAATCTTCATGGTTATTTCTTACGTAGCTTATCCTTTTATTTCTCTTTCTCTCTCTCTCTCTCTCTCTCTCTCTCTCTCTCTCTCTCTCTCAATTTGCCACTGGTATTTAGATATGAATCTAAGGAAAAATAATATCCCATTGCCTATTGACAAATGGCACATGAAGGTTTTGAGGGAGCCATTAAAATACAGAAACACTTCTTCTCCAAATGAAATTAGATAAAATTCAAGAGAAATTTGATAAGATACTACCCTGTGGGACAGATTTACACCTTTGAAAAACAAATACAAATTTAGTTCATCATCTAACATATTTAAAAACATAGGATGGCTGATTGGATAACTCTCTGATAATTAAGGACTTTTAGTTTTCTAGGCATTAATTATTTCCTTTGAAATCCACATAGTAGTTTCCAAATCTCTTAATGGCATTTTTCATCTCTTTATTTCTCAGTGTATAAATGGCTGGATTGAGTAAAGGTGTAAAAATGGAGTAAAACACAGCAAGAAATTTGTCCATCCATGTGATGTTGAGTGGCCACACATAGATGAATATGCAGGGCCCAAAGAAGAGTACCACCACAGTGATGTGAGCAGTGCAGGTGGATAGGGCCTTGGATGCACCAGTTTTAGAATTTTGGCATACTGTAACAAGAATATATGTATAGGATATCAGCAAGAGGATAAAGCATGTTATGGCTACAACCCCACAGTCAACATTCATTAAAACTTTCAACGTATGGGAATCCATGCAGGCTAGATCAATTACCAGTGGTCTATCGCAGAAAAAGCTATCTATTTCCCTAGGGCCACAAAATGGCAGCTCCACAATCACAACAATCTGACTCATGGCATGCACAAAGCCCACAGTCCAGGCAGTCACCACCAGCCCAATGCACCTGTGCAGGCTCATAATGGTAGAGTAGTGCAGTGGTTTACAGATGGCCACATAGCGGTCATAGGCCATTATCACCAGTACCACCATCTCAAGCCCAGCAATGAAGTGGGAAAAGAAGATCTGGGACATGCAGCCTGCAAAGGAAATGGTCTTCTTCTCCCTGAGAAAGTCTGCAATCATCTTTGGAGTGGTGTTTGAAGAAAGCCACATATCAACAAAAGACAGGTTGGCCAGAAAGAAGTACATGGGGGAATGCAGATGAGGATCAGTGATGATTAAGGTCATGATCACAACATTTCCAGACACAATGATCAGGTAAAGTATCAAAAATATCATGAAGAGTAAGACTTGCATATCCCATGAGTGGCCAAGTCCCAGAAGCACAAATTCTGACATTACAGACTGATTTCCTCCATCCATTTTATTCACTTTATCTTCTGAGTTAACCTGGAGAGAAGAATAGGTTATCAGTTGGTAGGATAAGTAATGATGGATTTTTACAATTTGTAAAATTTGATATTCATTTTGAAATTTAGCATCAATATATTAGAATGAAAAGGATAATTATGAAAAGGAATCTGAGCCAGTTATCCATGGCATTATGTCCAAAAGAGAAACTAAATGCCTAATACTGTTTTTTTTTTTTTCAAGAAGCAGAACCAAAGATGTTTTTTTTGTGCAAATAATTGAGAGGGTGCACTCACAAGAAGTAGTGAATGGAGCAGGACAGCAAGGTGAAAAACTAAAATACTTGTGGTCTTACCTAAAATCTAACTATAGTCCACTATTCTAATAAGGAGATCTGAGTGAGATTTAATAAATACCTTTATAGTGAATAAAGAAAATTAACACATCTGCTTAGGAAAATGAATGTAAATTAATATTGAAATATAGTATGAATGACAGTACAATATTTAGTTTATCTGTACTATGCATACTGATTTCCAAACCCACTACTGAACCTCTTCTAATAATATATCATAAAACTGAAACTTTAACCCTCTAAAATGTATGTCAAAAGAACTTTAAGGAGAGAAATTGTCTAGAAAGTCATTTGATAAATATCTTGACATAAAGATTTGGATGTAAAACTAGCATATAACTTATCATTAATTAAATCCCATCTGTGATCTAACAGAGATAATTTAGTAAACTAAATGGATTAGAAACAACTATCAGTGCAAAGTCATGTGGACAGAGATTAAAGTGGATGGCAACTGAAATTAGATTCAGACTTGATAAACTTTGAATGGATACTCCTTATAACTTAAACATATCAATAGAAAATACTGATCTACTGTTTTATGGATGGATGCTGAGAAATTCCTAGACATTGAAATATTACGATTTCCTGAACAACACAGACACAAACATTATCTATTTACTTGTTTTCCCTTTGACTATGTATCCATCACTGATCTGCGTTTTCTAACAGGAAAAGGTATTATGTTCATGTGTAAGAAAAGAACATCTTTGAGTGTTAGTGCTTAGTGAACACAAGATAAACGTGTCAGTGAACACTGATTATTCATTTTTAAAGGTATCAATAATGTTGCTTATAACTATCTTTATGAAAATGCAAAGTTCTTGTGAAGATTGCTGTTAGGAAGATAATTGTATATTTTTCCTTTTATAATTTTTTTTCTCTTGGCATTGTTTCATTTTTTGTGTGTCACATCTTTTTTTATATTTTGAAATCTCTAGGGTGGTGCCAAGGAAAAGATGAATGATCAAAACTCCTACCTTATCATGAACACTATTTCCCTTAACCTTATGTAAGAACTTGAAAGCATAAATTATAAATGGCAAGAAATACAATTCTCCTAAAGAAATCAGTCATACCTATGTTTGTTGTGGATAACAGAACATAGAATTGACTCATAAGTTACAAATAAACACAATTACCATGACAGATATTTACCTAATTTTTAAGAAAAATATCCTGATGTTATTCTCAATAAATTTATGATCCCTAAGAAACTTGAACAATCTGAACTTTTTTTTCTAAATTTCTTTTTCTTATCAGTGCAAACTTTCCCAGAGTTTTCAAAAACTAGTCTTGTACCTGTTGAACAAAAGACAAGGAAGAGAGCTTATATTAAAACAAGAATCCAATTACATTTGAGAGAGGAATTTCTTAAAAGGTGAACATGTATATTCTCAGGGAACAATTAACCCATAATAAAACATTCTGCCCTTTATGTTTTGAAATTAATAATATTTCATATTATAAATAGGCAAATTATCTTTCTCTGTTAATATTAATCAGCATTAATATTTAATAGAACTTGGACACTTTATTATAATAGATTCAGAATTTTTACCTGAAACACAGGGAGAATTCTCATAAAATTGGTACTTTTCCTTCTGGGATCAGTCAATTGAAACATTAGGGACATTGTATCACTCTTTTAGGAGTTCAAAAATAGACAAAAAAAAATGTTTCCCTTATAGATATAATGTCCTTCAATAAATATCACTTCCTATAATATTAACTCTGAAATTCTGTGAGGTACTCAGCATTTAATTTTTACAAAAAGAACTTAGACCAGAAAATTTAATAAACTGCTTGAGGTAAATGTCAGATGTGATGCAAAGGGGTTGGGTTCCAGATCTTCCCATAGTACATCATGTCTTCCTTTTCCCACATGTATGATTTTTAATCTTATTTCTGTAGTAATGTCATTTATTTCTCAATATTATATATATAATATTATATATACATACCTATATATGTATGTGTATACACATATATATAAACTTCTTGCTCTATTTCAAAAGTTTTCTTTCAGGCAATACTGACTTAGAAAGCATCTCTGAGACAGTGTATTACAGTGGCTTGTAAACTGTTTTTGATAAGATAGAAATTCCAATAGAAATAAAAAAGGAAAAGGAGAAAAAAATTGTGAATCATTTTCTGAAAATGTCAGAAGCTCAACAAGTCATTCTTACTCAAATTATAGAGGGCATTTGTGAAACAGAATAATAGAAATATTTTTTTAAATTATCTTAAGATAATCAGAAAAATGAAATAACTTACTAAATATTAATTATCCCCTCTCAGATTAGATTTTCTTTCTGATCATTCTTCTCTTCTGAAACATGTTTAATGTGACATCCATGTTGTATAGGGACAGTATCTTTGGAAGTTCTTTTCCTCAGCCTGACATATATTTACCTTCTGAAGTGGTCCCTTGGGCTTAATTTTCCTGTTCTACATCTGAACAGATCAGAACAGAACATAGAAATAATTTTCCTTGGACTTCTCTTGGGAACTTCTTTGTTAAGAATTTTCAGTTGTTGCACATTCTGGAAATTTATAACAGGAAGTCAAGAAAATCTCATATAAATTAATCCAGCGTTAAAAGTTAGTGGTTTTTAAAAATTATTCTTTATCTAACTAGAAGTGTTAAGAATACTTGTTTGACAATCTTAATTGCTTATTTTATCTTTATCTACAGATATACTACACTAAAATTAATGTTTTAGTTTCTGTGTAGTACAAATCATAGCCTGTGAGGTGTGATATATGCCCACCAACAAAAAACCCTCATATGGATCTGCATGTCATGGTCATCCAAATAGGTGGTTAGCCTTGGTCAGCTTATTTATTTGTTTCCATGTTATCTATGATTAATTGAGGTCCTGAATGGTTATATACTAAATTTCAAGTTATTAAAATACTTTTATTTTTTATGAGAATGTGAATGTTAGTTTAAAATACATTTATTGAATTTTGACATCTCAGATTTTAATATGATTTTTTGGGGTGCAATTGAAATGTAATAAACTGCTCATATTTAAGTGTGCAGTTTAACAAGTTTGACACAAGTATACAGCCATAAAAAGATCATCACAGTCAAGATAAAGAATATGGGGGACTCAAAGATATTGGATTTGTATGAGGAAGCATTTCTCTTAACTTGGCTACCCAAAACTCAAAGCAGCGGAAATACTACTTCTCCCTGAGGTTTAGAATGAAAAATCCTGTCTGGAGGGGCAGTCTGACCTAGGTGAACCGGAGACTGTTTGACTAATTAATTGGACATAAATAAAACCTCTCCACATCAGTTTGTCTATTGTTCACCAAAAGTGAACTCAGGGGCCATCTTGGGACTGCAGCATTGTGGAGCCTACAGAAACTGGAAACCCAGATGTGAGTTTGAGGTTAGTTTGGCGTGGATCTGTCTGAGCCTAGCAATCTGCTGGAAAGTCAGAAATTGGGAGCATTTTGCCCAGGGGAACTAACACAGGTTAGAGAAACTGATGAGAACTGGCTTTCCTCAGCTTCAGGAGTCCTGAGGCTTTTGGGGAATGACAGGCTGGCTATAGTGGATCACAGTGAGAAGGTAGGAAGAGGGTGTGAGAGCATTTTGCTCTCTGCTTGACAAGCTAGCCGGTCTGGGACCCACCAGCTTCCTGGGACCCACTCATGCAAGCACTAGCTGGGGGCACCAGTGTAGTCTCTGACTCTCTCCCCGTCTAGCATACTCTGATCCCCTGGTCCTGCTTCCAGCTCCAGGATCAATCTGGCACCCAAAAGGTCCCTCTGGGTCTCCAGTTCCCAGTCTTCCAAATCCTCCTTAGTTCCTGACCTGGACCATTACTTGCATCTTTACAGCTGGCTTACAGGTCATAACATCTGACTTTGATCTACCAGACAGAACAGCTAGGCTTCTGTTGTGGCTGGGTTTCAACTCACCACACATGCTGCTTAGCTGGCAGACCTATCAGGTCCATCATATAACTCCATGATGAGTGCACAGGTCCTGGCACCCAGCCCTCAGGACTGGCTGGGAGACAAGCACCTGACCAGGAAATCAAAAGGGTAGAAGAGGGAGAGACTGAGTTTGGAGACTGTATCAGAAACCAGGAATAATAGGGTCCACAGGCCACACAGGGAGCTATAAACAGGCTCCTACACTACCCAAGTGGAACCTAAAGAGATTCCTAGGATGCAATCTTCCAGTGTGGACCATAAATTACTTGGTCCTGGAAGTACAATGACTTTAAATCTCCAGATCATTTGGCATTTAGAGAAGAGACTGGATCATACATGTAGCCTATGCCCTGCCTCCAAAGTTTCACCTACAGGGTTAACCTTCTCATTCTAACAACACCACCTACCTTGAGGGTGAAGCATCAAACTCAAGACATCCCCACCTAGAAGCTGAGAAAAAAAGCTGAGAAACTTTTGAAATCCAATGAAAACAATTATCCAATTTTTCATTGAGTTTTTTTCTTTCATATTTCCACCATTTTTGAAACCAGTTACTTTTCATGTATCAGTTTATTAAGGACTGGGATGTCTAAATTTCAGTTTTGTTTGTATTTTTTTATTTATACTTTTTCTTTCTATTTTAATTTTTTATTTTATTTTTAAAGTTTTCAATATATACTATATATATATTCTCTCTCTATAA